AGATCAAGAAACATTACCAGCCCTCTTGAAGTCCCCCCTATCAGTTTTGTCTGTTATACTGTTGAAGCATGAGTATTTAGTAGTGGCAGATTGAGAACTTGATTATAGGTATTTGTTTTATTTTGAAAATGAATTAAGAATGTTATTAATAATTTCAGCTTTGGTGGCTGTTATGAGAACTTGGTTCATTTAAGTGATTTGGACCATTCTTTTGCTATGAAGTTTACTGGTGTAAGTAGTTATTGAGGACTTTACTATGTATTTCTTACTTGGCAAAATTGGGGAGTGAGAATGCCTGGCCATTGTGGCTCAGGGGTTGAGCATCGACCTATGAACCAGGAGGCCACAGTTCGATTTCTGATCAGGGCACATGCCTGTGTTGTGGGCTCGATCTCCTGTGGGGGGTGTGCAGGAGGCATCCTGATCAATGGTTCTCTCTCATCATTGATATTTCTAGCTCTCTCTCCCTCTCCCTTCCTCTCTGAAATCAATTAAAAAAATATTTTTTTAAATTAGGGAGGTAGAAGATATAAAGGCAAATATAAACTAGCTCTGATTTACATACAGTCTAACTTAGGAAGACAAATTACATTAGACAACAGAACAATTAAGTAGTAAATTGTGTAGTAGTGATTCAAAAAAGGAATCATTGCTGACAGCATCAAAGTGGGCTCCACAAGGGAGGTGGAATTTGAGCTGGGCCTTGGAGAATGGGTAGGATTTAAATGGAATGGTTATAACATTACAAGTCATGGCAAGAAAGTTTAAAATGGATGAACATGATATACAGACAGTGAGCAAGCAGAACAATCTGGTGTGGGGAAAACATGCTGAGGAAAGGTAGAGAGTTAAGTTTGATAACATAGGCTAGTGCCAGGTTATAGGATATGTAACAGCCACACAGTGGAAACTTGGCTGGCTGACATAGGCACCAGTAAGCCTTGATATAGCTTAGTGGACAGGAATATTCGATCTGAAGCCAGAAAACTCATGTTCTTTTTTTTTTTTAAGAGAATAAATCCTTTTTTAAAAATTGATTTTAGAGAGAGGGAAGGGAGAGAGAAATTGATTTGAGAAAACTTAAGTTCTAATACTGACAAACTTTTCTATTTATCAGCTATGTGCAGTTATATGACCTAGATCAGATAGTATAACCTCTCTGGACATCAGTTTCTTCATATGTAAAAACGGGAAATTTATATTTCATAGGGCTATTATTATGATAAAATAAGAATGTGTATGTATGTATATGTATATATGTATTACTTTATATATATATGTGTGCGTGCCTTGCACATCTAGTAAATGTACAATAAATTGAACTGTTTCTGTCTTTTTTTCTTTAATCCTCACCTGAAGATATTTTTTCCCTTTTTAAAAAATTTTTTTTAGAGAGAGTGGAGGAGAGCAAAGATAAAGAGAGAGAAATGCATCAATTGGTTGCCTTCCATATGCACCCAGACCTGGGCCGCAGGGGATTGAAGCTGCAATTCCCCCACCCCCCATCCAGATACTTGCCCTTGACTGGGAATCGAACCCATGACTCTTTCAGTCTGAGGGCTGATGCTCTAACCACTAAAATGGCCAGGGCAGTTTCTGTAGTTCTTAAAAAGAGCTAATGGATGAAAGCAAAGGGAGACTTAGAAGTATAGTTGCCCCCACAGACATATGGTAAGTATCTCTGTTAGGGTAGTGGTAATAATACAGAAAGAGGACATTTGCGGGACATGAAAAGTATTGGACTTGAATTTCTGTTTAGGAGGAAATGTTTTGGGTGTCCCAGTGATCTTTTCTTTTTTTAATATATTTTATTGATTTTTTACAGAGAGGAAGGGAGAGAGATAGAGAGCTAGAAACATCGATGAGAGAGAAACATCAATCAGCCGCCTCCTGCACATCTCCTACTGGGGACGTGCCCGCAACCCAGGTACATACCCTTCAGTCCGCAGGCCGACGCTCCATCCACTGAGCCAAACCGGTTTCGGCACCAGTGATCTTTTCTTAAACAGTTATAATTCCTCTGTGGTTTCTTGTACTGTATAGATACTTTTGGCAAGATGTGTTTGACCTTTTAATTTCCATTAAGGCACTTGAAACCCCCTAAGAGTTCCTAGTTTATGTTTTTTGTTTTAAATATATTTTATTGATTTTTTTACAGAGAAGAAGGGAGAGGGACAGAGAGTTAGAAACATCGATGAGAGAGCTCAATTAGCTGCCTCCTGCACGCCCCCCAGTGGGGATGTGCCCGCAACCAAGGTACATGCCCTTGACCGGAATCGAACCTGGGACCCTTGAGTCCGCAGGCCGACGCTCTATCCACTGAGCCAAACCGGTTCGGCCCAAGTTTATGTTTTAGAAGAGGATATTAGAAGTTTTATCAGAATTATCCAATTATCAATAACATTTGTGATAATAATGGCAAGACAGGTATGTTTGTTTTTGATGTCTTGACAAATTAATTGGTGCATGAATGATCTTGGAAGAATTTAAGTTTTAGTTTCTATTCCTTAAAGAAAAAAAATTGTTTTTGTCAAGAAAGCTCAAGTCTGAGGGAAAGTACTGGCTCAGATGTTTCCCTTAGACATCAAGAGTACATACACTATTTTTTAAAATATATATTTTATTGATTTTTCACAGAGAGGAAGGGAGCGGGATAGAGAGTCAGAAACATCGATGAGAGAGAAACATTGATCAGCTGCCTCCTGCACACCTCCTACTGGGAATGTACCTGCAACCAAGGTACATGCCCTTAGTCGGAATCGAACCTGGGACCTTTCAGTCCGCAGGCCAATGCTCTATCCACTGAGCCAAACTGGTTAGGGCCACTATTTTTTTTTTTTAATTTTTAAAAACGTTTGTTTATTGATTTTAGGGTAAGAGAGAGAGATTTGTTGTTCCACTTAATTATGCACTCATTGGTTGCTTCTTGTATGTGTCCTGATCAGGGATTGAACCCACAACCTTGGCCTATCAGGATGATGCTCTAACCAACCGAGCTACATGGCCAGGGCAAGAGTACACTATTTTAAACAGTAGCTTCTTGCAGTATTATTTAGTTATTTTAATATGGAAAATGACAGGGGATTACTAAGTGATGTGGAGGAGAGTTATAACTGCTTTGTGCTCTTGAGAATTTTTGTTTTAGTTCAGGAGAAGATGGGAAGGGGCTGGACACACCTGATAACTAATCTGGCAGACTTTTGTGGGCAGAATTTAAAATAAAATAAAAATTTCACATATGATTTTTAACATATGGACCTTAATAAGCTAGCCTATGAGACACCAATGAGGTTCCTCTATAAATCTTAAACCACAGTTTTTAATTTGGTTAGGAAAAATATCAGGTTTAAAAATGGGTGTTGTAGGCTCCTTTTCCATCTTCTAAGAAGATGGAGGTTATATATATGAAATGCTTTGAGCTTCATATAAGATAGGGCTACTTTCCCAGCTGGCTTGGCTCAGTGGTTGAGTGTTGACCTATGAACCAGGAGGTCATAGTTCAATCCTCAGTGTAGGGTGTGCAGGAGACAGCCAATCAATGATTCTCTCTCATCATTGATTTCTCTCTCTCTCTCTCTCTCTCTCTCTCTCTCTCTCCCTCTTCCTTCCTCTCTGAAATTAATAAAAAATACATTTTTAAAAATAAGAGGCTAAAGTATTGTAGTGTTGTTATTATTATAGTACTTGGGGAACTAAGAGTGATTGCAGTGATTTAGATATGTAATACTAGTTGCCAGAACTCTGTGGACAAAAATGATCATATTGGCTGAAACCGGTTTGGCTCAGTGGATAGAGCGTCGGCCTGCGGATTGAAAGGTCCCAGGTTCGATTCCGGTCAAGGGCATGTACCTGGGTTGCAGGCACATCCCCAGTAGGAGATGTGCAGGAGGCAGCTGATCGATGTTTCTCTCTCATTGATGTTTCTGACTCTCTATCTCTCTCTCCCTTCCTCTTTGTGGAAAATCAATAAAATATATTTTAAAAAAATGATCATATTGGTAATAGCTGGCTTTTCCTGATACCCATTTTTCTTGTGTCTTAAGTGAGCCCCACTATGCCTAAGAAAATATCCTTCAATCATTAGCATATTCTATTCCAGCAGTGTTATGTCCCTAACGTTGGCAATTTGTGATTGATGTATTGATGCAACCTGCCAGCTATGCCGCGGCCTGGCAATTGCTGAGAGTTTTTCTCATATTAGGTGTGTGGCTTGAACAAGACTTGAGGTTTGTTTCCTGGTTTTACTGAAACCTGCTAAGGGAGCGGTTAGCTTGGGTTTAATGGAATGGATGTCTTGTGTCTGAACTGGGTCAACTGTGTGTGTTTTTGGTGTTTCTTTTTTGCAGGTGATTTAATGTATTCCCTCCCCTCCCACCACCAACAACCTTCCAGATACATACCTTCCCAATACGCCCCGCACCCTTTAATTTCTGCCGCACAGCAATCTGTAGTTTCAGACAGGGTGGATTGATTGATGTGTGCAGCTGATCTAATATGCAAATCTAAATCTATGCACGGTTATGAAGGGTTGATTAGTCTGAGAAAAGAAGGGCGAGGCATATAGACCTGGGGAGCATTTTTTTTACTGTCAGGTGTCACCAGGTGGCTATTGCTGTGGAAGTCTGAGGCGCTCTAGTGTACCGCCTGGATGGTTAGCTTGGGTTTGTTTACCCAGGCAGAAAGTGGGCAGGGGAGCGGGAGAAGGGGTGAGGCATCACTTGGCCCAGCTATGGGATACTGGACTCCGGGCTTTGAGGTGGGGACCCAGGGAGATGGGGGCAGCTCTAACAAAGAGGAGCCGGGCCGGGCCGGGGCCGCAGGTAGTTGGCCTATCCCCGGCAGCTGACCTCCCAGTGGGGCTCCCCAGTTGGCTGCTTTGCGAGTCGCTCTGCTGGCTCCCTGGCTCGCCATTGGCTGTGAGGACGGGAGGGGTCTCATGGAGGGCCGGGATAGAGTTGAGGGGGCGGGGCTGGCTTCCGGCGGCGAAGCGGGGCAGCGGTCGCAAACTGGGGGAGGGGGTGTCGGCGCACCTCGGAGTGCTGCGCTCGGAGAGCCAGGCACCCGGAGCAGCCGCCCCCTCCCCCGCCAGGACCACTGGAAGCCCCCTCTCTCTCAATCTCTCGGGGCGGGGCGCGGAGAGTTGAGCTGCCCCAGGCGGGCGGGGCGGAGCCCGGAGCCCACCGAGCGCTGCAGCGCGAACCTCACCTCCCTTCTAGGGTTCAAGGTGTGTGTGTGTGTGTGTGTGTGTGTGTGTGTGTGTGTGCGTGTGCGCGCGCGTGTGTGTGCTTTTTCTAACGCAACCCCGACTTCTGCCGACTTAACCTTGAGGGGAAAGGGAATGGGAAGTAAGAGCTCCGCATCCCATCAGTTTATTTTGATTTTCTAATTCTACCCTTCATTCTTTCCCTCCCTTCATCCCACCCCTGCGGCAGGGTAAGGAGATTCAGGACTCATCTTTTTACTGATGAGTCGATGTCGGTCGCGTAGTGAAATAACAGAGAATAAAAGAGGAGCCTTTTTTTTTATATGGCATCTGATGCAGTGAAACGCAAAAAAAAAGAAAGAGAAAAAGCTAGGAGTGTGTTTTTGGAACTGTACTGCATCCTTGTCCGTTAAAAGCTGTCTTCACCATTTTCCTGCTTGGGACTACCTTAATCAGCAAAAACTATCTGAAAAGGAAGAAGGTGCTAGTGGAAAGAGGGAGAGCCCCCGTCAAATGGTGGTCAAAGGAAATCCGGATAGTTGTTAGTGATTAACTCTGCTAAAGTCTCTTCCCGAGTGCATTTTCACCGGCTTTGTGTAGTACTAAACCCTGTTGGAGAATCCTAGCTAGAGGGAGCAAACTTACCTTGCGGTACTGAAACTTGGCTTAGATCTGTTTCTCCACAGGTCTGTTTCTTATATCCATAAGTTCTCAGAGAATATGTTTTGGCTGTCAAAAACCAAAATCAAACTTTAAAAAATATCCAGATGAATTTTAATCCGTTTATTTTTTAAAGCCCCTTCCTCCCAACTTTATGAATTTTAATAACTGTAGCATTACAATTGAAATTATGTTTTTCTCTCTTGAGTTATTTCGCTTCTACAACGAATGGATCCCTTCTTTCTGAAGGATGCAGTGCTCAGCCTCAGCCAAAATCAGAGACCCTTTATAGGTTTTTAATTGAGAGGAAAGGTATCAGTTGATGATAGAAAACCTCAAATTTGTGATAGAAACAAAGGGTGTGTGAATTTGTGTGTCATCTGCATGTCTGTTGAGTGGCAATTTTATGGTAAACTTGTTTTAACTGGGCATTTTCACCAAAGGTGTTTGGACCAGATTTATGTTAATGTTGATTAGCTAGAATATCCGAAGGGATAGATAATCAATCTTTTGTCAGCACTTTGATAAAAAAAATTTTTTTGAAGATCAAATTTCCTTTTTAAGCAATTCATGAATTGGGCAGCATCCCATTTAGCAACTAGAAAGACATTCCTGGGTAAATATTAATTGAAGTGATTGAGAGTTCATTCTTGAAATCTAGGTTTAGTTTTCAGAGACTGTTCTAACTGGAGTTTAGTGTTGACAGAATTGATATGCTGCAGCTATTTTACAGTTTTAGCTGGATTAATGTTTTCTCTTAGCATGGATTTATTGGATCTCTAATCAATAAGGAGCAGCTTAGAAAGCAAGTATTATAAAGAATAGGGATGATGAGATAGGAAACCCACCTCAATTGTGAAAACTTACTAGGGATCAGAAAACTTACACTTTAAAAAAATTCTCAAGTAGACTTAGTATAGAATTGTGCAAAAAAAAAAGATTCACAGTAAATCTTTCTTGGATTTGGGGTTTTTAGTTTATTGCTAATTTATCCCTTCAAACTCCATGAATAATATTTAAATTGAAAGGCAAAGAGGATTCCTTACCTAATGTTACTGAGAATGAACCCTTAAAAATCACTGATTTAATCTTTGACAGCTAGCCTGGTACAAAATGAAAAGCAATTTGGCTAAGCTATAGCAAGCTGAGGAAGTGACAAAAACGCCTTGGTGGCCATATTAAAGCATATTCCACCAGTTCATTTTGCTTCTACCAGAAAACAGGTTGCCATCCTATTTGATAGCTATCCTAGGTGTTTTTTTCTTTGTCTACCCAGAGGTGAGCAGTTAATACAGTTTTATGATGTTATAATGCACTTAGCTCACTTCATTTTTTTAAAAAAATGTATTGATTTGAGAGACAGAAAGTCAGAGAGAAAGAGACAGACAGACACATGGATTTGTTGTTCCACTTATTTATGCATTCATTGATTGATTCTTGTACGTGCCCTGACCGGGGATCAAACCCATAACCTTGATGTACCGGAATGGCATATAACCAACTGGATGAACTACCTGACCAGGGCTACTCATCTACTTTTTAAATATTTGTTTTCTTGGCTAATTTTTGTAATCAGTATTTTGCATGGTGCAGTGATTTCCCCAAAGAATTTTCCCCAGGAGACAAAAGGCTATGTATAGAGCTAATAGGTGTATCTACACTGATCTTCAAATATCACTTAAGGGAGATGGAAATCCGCAGATTTGGTCCTCTGCAAGGAGACACATGAAGCTGTGACTTCTCATATCTCTTAAATTGAAGGGACCTGCTGCTGCTAAGGGTAAAGTAGCTGCTTTAATTTTCTTTAGTAGTCTGTTTTTATCCATTCTGCTTATTTTTGTGAGTTACAGCTTAGAATGTGTTAAGAAAAGGGGTCCTATGTTTTCTCTAAAGGGAGATTCAACTCAATCCCCCATTCACATCCAACGTATAAAATGATCCCCTTAAGAAGGTGAAGGAAAGATTGGGCCCTTGGCATTGTTTGATTCTTATAATAATTAGTTTGAGTGTTACCAGATTTGGAATTGGGTAAAGCTTGTTCAAGGTGAGAAAATATTAGAGGCGAAAAGACCTGGGAATGCTGCTATATAAGAGACTTATTTAGAGACAATGAATGTATTCATGTGGAGGTAGTTTAGCTGTTCAGCTTTGTCAGGTGTCTGAGAATATTTTGTGTGTGTTTAAACACAACCCCCTCTCCCAGGGGTTGATTCTTGGCAGCTGAGTCTTACGAGGAAGTTGTTTGCTGAGTCTAAATCCAGAGGGTAGAGGACTTGGCGGAGTCTGTTATCTGTTTATGACCCAGATAAGCATTTGGAATTGGTTGCTGGTGAATTACTGAACTCTTCCTAATGAATGGTTGCTAGGCAAAGTGCATCTCAATCAGTTTAATCCTCAATAGTTTACAGGTCTGCTCTTGTTGAGGGCCAGGACGGTCTTTCTAATGATACTGCCCTTTAAGAATCCTTTTGGATGTGCATATACTAGTATGTTGCTCAGTGGCTTAAAAAATAAAAGGACTGGAACAATTCAGGGAGGTCACTTCATTCATTTATTTACCTTTTGATAATCTGGATCAGCATTGTCATTAACCTCTCTCCTGGATCAAGTGGTAGTGCATGGGGGTTTGCTCTCCAATATTAAGATTCCACTGTGTTTGATTATCTTCTGTTTTGTAACTAGTAAGGCAATGAACTAACACATTCATTGTTAGTTGGAAACAGGCCAGTGATAACACTGCCCTTGGGCCTAGATGGATGGAAAAATAGGACACAGTAAACAATTGAGGGCATAAATAATGAATCTTCCAACTGAGCCCTGGGAGAATGAAGGAGATTATCCTTAGAGCTGTTCAATCTGGCAGTGAAAAGGAAAGAGTCCACTGAATCAATTACCCTGTGTTTGATACTGTACTTATGGGATTTTAAGAGCCATTCAAACCACAGTTGCCTTTTAAATATAAACTTTGAACCCATCTTTTTGTTCGTTCTGATTTTTAAAACCAAACACACAAGTTAAATTGTTCATTTATTTTTAGAGTCCAGGCCTTTGCTCTCTCCCCCAAATTTGTTCTATATGTTAGCATTCTAACAAATACTGGTCAGTCCTTATATTTGGCCAGATCTTAGGATTTTGATTAGAGATTTCATTGTCTGTAAATATAAAGGGTAATAGAAGAAAAAAGAGAAAGTCTGAGGTGGTTTAAAGGAATTCTTTGGTACCTTTGAGTACATAGTATACTTTTAAATTAAATGTGGGGTTAAAGAGTATAATTATATAACAACTCACAAAAGGTTAAGGTTAAGACAAGAGTTTCCTCAGCCCAAGAATCATTTTCAGTGTTAACATAAGTATTTTTACTTTTGGGTTTATTTTTATTCAGTGAATTAAATAAGCAGTCTCTTGCGGTCTCACCTTTTCACTCAGGTAGGGAAAACTAATGCCCTGAGAATGTCTAAATATTAATGATTTGGTAGTAAAGCCACTGCTAGAGCCAAAGTCTCTGAATTCTTCTCTTTTCTAATGTATTTAGTTTTTTCTCCAAGAACTCCTTTTAGGATTCCTATTTGAAACTAGTGTCCCAGTGTACGGATTCGTGCACACTGGAAGGAAATTAAGCCTCGACCGGTTTGGCTCAGTGGATAGAGCATCAGCCTGCGGACTCAAGGGTCCCAAATTCGATTCCGGTCAAGGGCATGTACCTGGGTTGTGGGTACATACCCAGTAGGGAGTGTGCAAGAGGCAGCTGATCGATGTTTCTCTCTCATTGATGTTTCTAACTCTCTATCCCTCTCCCTTTCTCTCTGTGACACCCCAACTTCTCTTTCAGGTAATTGTCAGCAACACAGCAGTAAATATCAACACGAAGCAGATTATTATTGTAGATCACTCAGGGAGAACAAAGGGTAAAATATTTAACTGTAGCAGTATTTGACTATATTTTGCACAGTGAGAAAACCTGAAGTCATTTTCAAGTTCCACCATTTCTTCTTTTCAGTTGAGTCAAGTTTCCAAATCTCTGTTGTCTTCCTAATGAAAAGAAAATAGGATTCTACTCAGTTTCCTATTGACCTACTCCAGGACTTCTGTGCGGTCAAATGAGATGAGGCACGGGAAAACACTTCACAAACATTTGGTTGTATTGTAAAATGTTTGCACCTGGCAATAAAGCAAGTCGGGTTCCTGGGCTGAAGAAACTCCAAGGAGGCTAGTCACTAGGGAGAGGAAGCCAGGCATTGTTACGTGAGATCATTACCCGGCACCCACAGTGACCGTTTCTGGGCTGGGCTGTGGGCTACATTTTGCACCATGGGGTCTTGGCAGCGTTGGTTGCGATTTGGTTGAATGTCACTCTGGGGTGG